TGTGTGTTTTCTTTTTACCAAACAACACAGCAACAATACCAAAAACCACGGGAACCAGGTCAGAAAGAATGAGAGCCTTTGCAGTCTGCACCAAAAAACCTGGATGCGGAGCCAGGTGCCACGTGTCCTCCTGGGCAATCAGAGGCCTCCGAGTCACCTTGGCAACGGAGACGAGGTGCTTGGCTGTGGTGGCCTGAGCCTGCAGGTCTCTAGTGGCATCTGGACGCCCCTCGGATTATGAGATTCCCCTCTTGGCCTCCAGAATCCCTGGGCTGGGCAGTCCTGGGCAGGCTGGCCAGTCCTGGGCAGGCTGGACCAAGCATCCAGTCTTGACCTGGCTGCTCTCAGACAAGCAAGTCTTCCAGAGAATGTGGGAGGAAAGGCCCCTCAGAGTGACCAAGATGTCAGCAGGGAGGGGGAGGACAGGAGGGGTTAAGCAGGGGAAGGTACAGCCACTTCCAGGCGGGCGACTAACACTCATGGTTCTGATGACCATTTAATGACACGGCAAGTCCTTGATGCGGCTGCGGAAAAGGCAGGATGAAGTCATGTGCTGACAAAGACCGGGTGGAAAACTCTGAGCCGTCAGTAGCATCACCGGTGCTTTCTGTTCTCATCTTTACATATTTCTGTCGTTTCTGCCGAACATTTTCTACTGACTTTTCTACTTGGAAAAACAAAGTGCTAATACTAGTCCATAGGAACATACTCTGCTGAGGGAGCAGTTCATCTTGTTCCCACTTGATGCTGCTGGGATCCATCATGAAGCCGCTAGGACCTCTCCCCCCGGGGCCTTCCCCACTCAAGCAGAGACCCCATAGCAGCAAATTCATGGTGTTGCCAGGAGGAGCCCCCTGGGAGAGATGGCACCGTTGGCCTCTGCCCTGCCTACATTCTCCAAGAGCAGGCTCCCACCACGGGTTTGGGACCACAGCCCACACTGGGCTGTTCAGGAAGGGCTGGGAGCAGGGGCCAAGTGCACCTGGGTCCAGGGACTCTTTCTGGGAAGTTAGCTTCAGCCCTTTGGCTGCAGTTTTTATTCAATGATGACAAAATGTTTCCAAACAGCCAGCCAGGTGTTTGCAAACACCTAAGACCTTTCAAAAGAGTCGGGGCCAGGCCTGGGGCAGGTGGGTGGGAGGGAATAGATGAGCAGGAGGAAAGCTCTGAAGTCACAAAAGGAGAGACAGCAGGTGAGTGTGTTCAGGTCCCTGGTTTCTTCGTTCTTCTTCCTGTTCTCCTTGGAACAGGTTGGCGGGGCTCCCAGAAGGGGACAAAAGCGGTGGTAAACTCTTCAGCTAGAAGGAAGTAAAAATATTCCTCCAAATTCTCATTGGATAAACCTGGGACCGATAACGCAAGGGCATTTTTGAAGGACAAGAAAGACTTGGGACTACTAGTGCCCTTCAAAGGCCTTTTCAAACAAACTGACCCACAAACCTCCACCCAGGGAGGGGGTGATTGGGAAATATTTGGTCAGGCCGGCGATTGTGCACCAGGGGAAGCACGTCCAGTCCCTTCGGTGCCCTGGCAGGCGAGCCACACCTCAGGCAGCTGCACACGCACACCACAGCCTCCCCTCTGCCAGGTTTCCAGGTTCTGTATCCATTTCACTTAACTCTTCCCCCACCCCCTTCTGTGAAGTGGCATTTTTATTTAATGCAAGGAAAAATTATTCTGGGTTGGATGCAGAATTGATATCCTAAACTTCTGCCTTCCTAATACTTAAAAAAAAAAAAAATGCCCTCTGTCCTAACTGGTTTGGCTCAGTGGATAGAGCATCGGCCTGCGGACTGAAAGGTCCCAGGTTCGATTCCGGTCAAGGGCATGTACCTTGGTTGCTGGCACATCCCCAGTAGGAGGTGTGCAGGAGGCAGCTGATCGATGTTTCTCTCTCATCGATGTTTCTAACTCTCTATCCCTCTCCCTTCCTCTCTGTAAAAAATCAATAAAATATATATTTTTTAAAAAAGATGCCCTCTGTCTTTCCTTAGGAAACATTTATTTTGTGATGAGCCATAAAGAACATAAAGTGAGCGACGATATCAATGCAAATTGTCCTCTGCGGCCACTTTCATCCCCTCCCCTCTAGTGGGATAAGGCCACCAGGCACCTCGGTCCTAAGGGGCATAGGTCCTGCCCCACTGCTCCCTGCAGCTCTGGGGAAACAGTGAGGTGGCCCAGATAGCAGACAAAATGCCATGGAACCTGCCAAGCATCCAGTCTGCCAAGGGGTGAAGTCCTCACCCACTGTTGACTGCACCCATTGGCCCTCTCCGGGGGTTGCTCCACCAAGGGCAGGGTCCTCTCGCTGTCTGCGTACAGACCACACAGCTGGTCTTCCGTGGACACTTGTCCAATGAACGCACACACAAATGGGCCATCGCGTGCTGCACTGAGGGTGTTGCTGACTCTGGTCCCAAGAACCTGAGAACCCGAAGACCTCAGGGAGCAGAGTCCATTTCCTCGTGGCCCTCTGGAAACCAGCCTGCGGGGCCTTTCTTCCTCTCTCCAACCTGCTGAGTTCCTTCATCAAAGTGGCTCCATCATAAAGGACCCAGACCTTCCTCTGCAATCAGCTGGCTTCTGACAGTGTATCTGATGGAGAAAGGCCAGGGCTCGCCTGGGGTGGGGCAAGGACCCACTCCCGCGCCCTGGGGGCTGCAGCACCAGCAACTGCTTAGGACGCCAACCCTGGTCCTGGTGGTCACTTGGAAGAGATGCTGATCAGTTTTCTTGCACTTGTTTCTAACTTGCTGAACAATTAAGATTCGCACAAACCAAGAGAAATCCAAGTTGGGTGGCCCCAAGGTTCTCGAATGTATCGCTGCCATGCTCCAGAGGGTCCCAGGCGGTGGGCGGCCCTTTTCCAGGATGTGGCGTGCGCTCCCTCAGTGGAAGCCAGAGTGCTGTCACTGCCTTGCGGCCTCATTCTTCGAGGTTTCCCTAGCCTCACCTGGTACTTTCCCTAATAGAGGCTCCAAGGCCTAGCGCTTCCGACGGAAATTGGGGGACACATGGGACACGTACTCCGATAATCGGGACCCCGGAGTAGGAGTCCAAAGAGCACCCAGCTCAGCTGCACTTCGGGGTTTTCGGAACCGCACTAGGTCCAAGCCTTTTCGGTGTGGGTGCAAGAAGAGGAGGCACCAGCAAACGCGGGGGCCTAAGGGTTAAGCCGCTCGCAGCGCCTACGGAGCCCGGTAGGGGGCGCGCGCCGGCGGGAGCGCGAGCGCGGGCGGACCTCCACGGGCCTTAGGCGCCCGACGCCCCTGACGTCACTGCCCCGCGGTCGCCAGGGCGACGGCCTCATCAGCGCGCGCGTCAGAGCCGCCTGTCTCTTGGCAACGGCCCGATCTCCCGCTCTCCCTCCGCCTGGCGCTGAGCCACGCGTCGTTCCGGCGTCAAAACGACGTCAATGGGGCTGTATCAACCCAGCGCGCGGAGGGGCGGGGCCGGCGGGGGCGGGCCGGGGGCGGGGCGGGGCGGCCGGGGGCGGGGCCCTCGGGGGCGGGGCGTGCGGCCGGGTGCGCGGCGCGGCCTCAGAGCTGACATGCGGCGAGGCCAGGCCGGAGGCACAGGCGACAGCGGCGGAGCTTCGAGCAGCAGGAGCCTGAGCCACGCGAGCGGCCGAGCGGTCGGCGGGGCCCGTGCGAGCGGCGTCCTAGCCTCGGCGCCCCCGGAGCGGCGGAGGTGAGGCGGCGGCCGGGGTGGCGCCGTGGGGCGCGGGGCAGGCGGCCGGGCTCCGGGCTCTATCTCCGGCGGCCCCGCGGGTGCGGGCCGGACGCCGCTCGTCCCGCGGCCGCCGTTTCCCCTTTGTTGTGGGGCAGCGGGAGCGGGTCCACGAAGCACTGAGCGTGAGGGGCCCCAGGGTTCGGGATGGAACGACCGCGGGCGGCGGGGTACGCGGCCCGCGCGCGGCGCAAGGGGTTCGGAAGGAGCCCGGCGCGGGGGCGGGTCCACACGCCCGCGGGGCTCAAGTGGTTCGGGGACGGGAACGGCACTGGCCGCGGGAGCGGGACACGCGCCCGGCGGGACGGAAGCGCTCCAGGGGTCGGGGTAGAGCCGACCGCGGGCGGGTGGGAGCGGGTCCGCGCGCCCGGCGAGGCGACGGGGTCCGGGGACCGGCGTGGAGCCGACCGCGGGCGGCGGGGCGGGCGGGCGGGCGTGGGGTCCGATCGTCGCTGAGCTTCCTGCGTCCGCAGGTGCCCGGAGCCATGGTGATCATGTCGGAGTTCAGCGCGGCCCCAGCGGGCGTGAGCCAGGGCCCGCAGAAGCCCCTGCGGGTGGGCTTTTACGACATCGAGCGGACCCTGGGCAAGGGCAACTTCGCGGTGGTGAAGCTGGCCCGGCACCGAGTCACCAAAACCCAGGTGCGTGGGGCGCGGGCCGACCTGGAGCGGACCCTGTCTGGGGTGGACCCTGCCTGCGGGCAGCCAGCCGGGTGGGACCCCTGCCTGTAGGGTCCGTCTAAACGCGGGCAATTTTTAGTTTGGTAGAGAAGGAAAATGTTTTATATTACGATTGCATAATTTGTACGAATATTAGGGGGCAGCAAAGAGGATAATGATCTAATAACCCAGGGGCGCAGTGCTCTCTGTTCCAGAGCTAACGCCCTTCCAAGTGAGCCTGCGAAGACTTAGTACAATTATTTAACTTCGGCTATTTTAAGTAATATGAAGGGTTACTTTGGTTATTCCCCTCACCTTCCCCCCCGCCCCCCAACTTTTTGTGACTTCTTAGGGACAAAGTGTTTTAGAAATTAACCTGCAAAAATGAAATGTTTAAATTAGGTTAAGTGAGAGGTTTTTTTAAATAAAAAAAGAAAACCAAAATATCCTTTTTCTTTTTAAAAATCTATAGGTAGCAATAAAAATAATCGACAAAACACGCCTAGATTCAAGTAATTTGGAGAAAATATATCGTGAGGTTCAGATCATGAAGCTTCTGAATCACCCCCATATCATAAAGCTTTATCAGGTAAGGACCCACTTTGCCTTTCTCTGTGACTTCTGGCAAGTGCTTTCGTTTTTATGTCCAACGACCTAAGTCTGCAGTTTCTGGAGGCTGCCCCCTCTCTTTGGGTGTATGTGGGAGTCAGGGGGTTGGTTGTATAAGGTAAATAGACTGATGTCTGTACGTGGTGAAGATTTACTTACAGTTATTTTCTTGCTTTGGGGTCATAATTGAGATTTGCTTCATGAAGATCTTACTTAGTAATATAATTTGTTCCAGTTTTAAATGCATGGAGGTGGGATGTTGTTGCCTTTACTATGAAGATAAACAACCAGATCTGTGTATTGACACAAGTCAAGTATTTAGTGTAGAGGGACAAGTTCCAGTGAAACTAAACACTTCTGCCTTTGCAGATTATTAAACTTTCAGACCAGCTGCTTTTACCAGTTTTCCTAAACTTACCTTTGCAAAGGCAGCAGGGAGCTCTTGTCTTCCCCCACGTAAAATCCCATCAAAACGGAGATTTTGCTGTGGTGAGAGCAGGGAGCTTGCTATTTAATCCACGTTAAGGACAGGCTTCGCACTGTCCGTTTGTTGGTTTGTTTTGTGACTTTATTTTTGTTCTCCTGTTGAAACTAATAAAGTACATCTTTGGAAAATAAGTGGTGGTTTAATTAGGACAGCAAAGCAGTCTCTTTCTTAGCGGCACTTCTGTGACGATGAAGTAGTCTCGTGCAAGAGAATACGTTCTTTGCAAATTGCTTGCTATTCCGTCTAGTTGTGTTGGCTGTAAGTTCCTTTTGATGACTCTCATGAAACCCCAAGAGACTGAAATGAATATGGGATGGTGGGTGTGTTTGTGCAGTTGGCAGGGCATACAATGGGCAGGAGACAGGACTGTAATTGAAAATGATCCCATGGAAGGCTCTTTACTCAGTTAAAATGAAGGTAGAAGTTGTCATGGGGCTCGTGTTTCCAGAATGACAGTTTACTCATCATTGTTAAGTGTGGCACTCACATCACCTGTCACCTGCTCTCTGGTTGGTCACCTGCTCTCTGGCTTGTGTTTTGTTTCTGTTGCCATTTGTAAGTTGCCGCGTGGGTCGGAAGTTTCCTCCTGGGTCGCTGATGTCAGTGCCTGAGAAATGTGCCCAGCCTGTTTCCGCAGCAGCGGGCTGACCCCTGTCTGCTTTAGACTGAGTTGGAGGGATGAGCCAGAGCGTGGCTGCCTTGTCCTCCTGAACCCGCTGGCCCCTATGTGGAGTAGCCCAGTTAGCGATGCCTTGACCACACGATCCAAGTGAGGACCCTCCGGGGTGAATTTTCTTATTGCTCTGCGTGCTGCTCTGACTGTTGGGGACAGCAGTGGTAGTTCTTGCCCTGGCTTTGACATGGTATCTGATTTTCATCCAGCTGGCTCAGGCCCAGACCTTGGTGAGACACTAAACTCTTTCCTTGAGGTTTTTTTTTTTTTTTTAAACACATTCGCTCTTCATTCTTTCTCCGTCTCTCTTTTTTTTTTTCTCACTGAGAAAAGGAATGAACTCGTCACTCAGTGACACACATCGAGGGCAAGGGCTGTGAAAATTCTAGCTAAACTGCCTGTTGTTTGCTTTGCTTTTCAGATTTACAGCACAAAGCAGTTGTGTTTAAAGTATTCTTTTTAAAGGAATAACTATGTTTTGAGCCCTGAAGAAATCTTTTTCTGTAGAATGTATTATCTCTCTATCTCCCTTTTAAAATACCTGGATATGAGTCCGTTTTACTTTCAGTACAAATATTTGAATTTTACCTTGTTTCTTAGTTATGTTTTAAATTCTTTCAAAACAGTTTTTCAAAGTGAAAGAAAATGCTCACTCAGGAAGGGAACCTTTAAGGTGTGCCTGACACTGGCTGTTGCTGCTGACACATGCTGAGTAGTTTTCTGCACACAGAGCAGACTGTTGTGGCTTACCCGGCAGAGCCGGCTTTTTGTGGCCTACTTAATCATGTTACCAACGCATGTGGGGAAGGGGTATTCGCCATCTATTATTCAGCCGTGCTGGCCATTGGCTTGAATAATCTGCTGCCTGCTAGGCTTCTAGAAGAAAGCTGTAGCAGAACTCTCGAATCGCTTTTACTTCTGTAGCCGCCAGAATCCTCTGGTGGGTGAGGCAAAGTGAGTTAAAACTACAACGTAGGAGAATTCGAATACACTCAGACCTTTACTGAGCCAAGATATATCAGGACAGGCAGGCCAGTGAGGAATCACCTCTGACATTGAAAAAACTCTCCTGAATAGGAATCCCCTGATGTGTTTCTTTATTGCAGAAGGTTTTTGTTTGTTTGCTTGTTTTTCCTTCCCAAAAAGAATGAATGCACTCATCTGGAGAAGTTAGCTCCCTGGGGTTCAGGTAGATTACTGATACCTCTGGTATGTTCTCTCTTCGTGTGGTTTAATGTTTAGGTCTTTATTTTTTTAGGTAATGGAAACAAAGGATATGCTTTACATTGTCACTGAATTTGCAAAAAATGGAGAAATGTTTGGTAAGCCACACTTTTCATACCTGTTGAAAACCAATGGTGCTCACGTGTCAGGAATTGCTCCTCCAATGTTGGGGTCTACCCACCTGAGCATCCCACAGCACTCTTCACTGTGCCCCAGACGGCGGCTGCACTGTGGACTTGGAGGCTATAGTTTTGTTTTGTCGCTCCTCAGATTATTTGACTTCCAACGGGCACCTAAGCGAGAATGAAGCACGGAAGAAGTTCTGGCAGATTCTGTCGGCCGTGGAGTACTGCCACAGCCATCACATCGTACACCGGGACCTCAAGACCGAGAATCTGCTGCTGGATGGCAACATGGACATCAAGCTGGCAGGTGAGGAGGGCGCCCCACGCACTCAGGAAGCGTGTCTTGCGGCAGGGTGGGGCGTATGCAAGCCAGGGCCCTGGTGCTTTTTGCTCGGACACTTTTGAAACCGAGGCCCCTACTGTTTCCATCACAGCTTCATCGTCTGTTTCTTTGTCTTTCAGACTTTGGATTTGGGAATTTCTACAAGTCGGGAGAGCCTCTGTCTACATGGTGTGGGAGCCCCCCGTACGCGGCTCCGGAAGTCTTTGAGGGGAAGGAGTACGAAGGCCCCCAGCTGGACATCTGGGTAGGAGCCCTGTGCGCAGCGTGTTAGGTGCCCACGCTAGAGCTGTGTGCACCAGCAAGGCGAGCAGGCGCTGACCGTGCTGTCTGGTTGTTTGCAGAGCCTTGGCGTTGTGCTGTACGTGCTCGTCTGCGGATCTCTCCCCTTTGACGGGCCCAGCCTGCCAGCCCTGCGGCAGCGGGTGCTTGAGGGCCGGTTCCGAATCCCCTTCTTCATGTCTCGAGGTAGGTGTGCGCCGAGCCTTCTCCCGGGCAGGCGGGCGGGCAGGGGCTGTTGGGAACCCGGAATGGGAGTTCAGGAGGAGGAGTAGGTGGAGGAATTTATTTCCTGAAATGCCTGCTTGACTGTCCTCTGGGTCTGTGAGTCAGGCCGGTGTTACTGTAGGGTGTTTACCTGTAAAAGAAACCCAACCCACGGGGTGTGTTTTGAGTGCCCTACTTATGGCCGAACAGGTGCCTTCCTCTGAGGGTGTCTCCTGGAGCTGGCTGAAGGCTTGGTCTCTGGAGTCCCCGCCCAGTGCCCCCCCGAGTCTCACCTGCTCCACACTCGTGCTTTCCTCTTCCATTCAATAAAGATGTCCACTGACTTGTGTGGTCACAGCAGCGCGGGGCGCTAGGTGGTCTCTGTAGGGACGTTAGGAGGACTGTGTCCCACTCAGAGACCCGCCCTCGGTGGGGGGCATTCTCTGGTGGCTGGTCTGAGCCGCTGGCCCAGGCCAGTGCTCCTGGCATTGGTGTCTTCAGAATGGCCACTTGAAGGGAGCTGGTCCCCTGCAGGGCTGAGGTGGCAACCCAGTGGGCGGAGGGGACCGCGTGCACAGGCGGGCTGCCCGGCTCAGTGCGCCTCCCTTGACCCCCAGACTGTGAGACGCTGATCCGCCGCATGCTGGTGGTGGACCCTGCCAAGCGCATCAGCATCGCCCAGATCCGGCAGCACAAGTGGATGCAGGCCGACCCCACCCTGCCACTCACTCGCCCCACGAACGCTGCTCTCAGCTACAACTCCAACCTGGGCGACTATGACGAGCAGGTGCTGGGCATCATGCAGACCCTCGGGGTGGACCGGCAGAGGACCGTGGAGGTGAGTGTTGCCCGTCCCTCCTCCCACTTTGCTCGTTCTTGTGGGGGGGTGGGAGGGGACGGCTTTATCAGGAAAAGCAGTCAGTTGCTAGTTGAGTTAAAATGGGAACACGGGCTAATTTAAGGGCCAGCTTGTCCACTCTTCTAAAGGATATTCTGGGCCACCCAAGAATAACCCTGGGAACAGCCTTGTCAGGGAGCCTCAGTGACCCGAGGAGCCGTCCCGAGTGCCACCTGCACACGGCCACCCTGCTGTTCCGTCCTCTCCTCTGGCCCGGCTCTGACCTGCTTCTCTGCCTCTGCCTTCCCAGTCACTGCAGAACAGCAGCTATAATCACTTCGCAGCCATTTATTACCTCCTCCTGGAGCGGCTGAAGGAGTACCGCAACACCCCGCCGTCGGCCCGGCCGGGCCCGGCCCGGCAGCAGAGGCCCAGGAGCTCGGACCACAGCAGTTTGGAGGTGAGGGGTAATCTCCTAAAGCCCCACCTGTGTCCCCTGAGTTAGGAATCCCTTGCTCAGATGTGCCTGGGAGCCAGACACAGGCTGAGGCCCTGTTCGCCTGTTCATTTTGTCCCCCATCCATTAAGCCCTGGGTGGGGGCAGGGGTTCCCCTGTGAGCCCCAGACCAGAGGATGCAGAAGAGGGGGTGCTAGTCATTCTGTTGGGGCTCAGGCCCCGCCTGTGGCCAGTTGACCCTGGTGCTGGCCTCTCGGTGCCTCCCCCTGGTCGTTTCCACATGCGCAGCCTCAGCGGGAGGGTGCACGTGTCCAGAGCCTGGTCAGCTGGTGGCTGACGTCTGCTAGTGCCAGAGTGAGGCCAGCATGGTGTTTCTGGGGATGCTCGTGGTTATCCCAGAGCCACTGATAGCTTCTGTCCTTCCATGCTGGCTCACAGGTGCCTCAGGAAGGCCTCCCCGGTGATGCTTTCCGGTCCTCTCTGCTGTGCCCACAGCCCCAGACCTTGGGGCAGTCTATCCTGCAGGCCGAGATGGACTGTGACCTCCACAGCTCGCTCCAGGTGTGTGAGCGTCTGCGAAGGGTGGCGTCTGGGGCGGGGGCTTATCTCATTCCGCCCATGGGATGGTGATGACCCCATACCAGGTCACCCAGAGCCCCAGGGTCACTGGTTCATTTCCTTCCCGCACAGCCCTGGCTCTTCCCTGTGGACACCAACTGCAACGGCGTGTTCCGGCATCGCTCGGTCTCCCCCAGCAGCCTGCTGGACACAACCATCAGCGAGGAGGTGAGGCAGGGCCAGGGCCTGAAGGAGGAGCCAGAGGCGCAGAGACCCCTGCCTGGCAGCACGGTCCGAAGGCACACACTGGCCGAGGTCTCCACCTTCTCCCCGTGTATCCCCCCATGTAAGTGTCCACGTGGGCAGGAGCACAGCCTGGTGGGCGGGTTTAGGGTTGGGACTACAAGGGCCTGATGCAAAACACACCTTTTATGCTGGGCGGTTTCTTCTTATCACAGTTCTCGGATTTAACCCCCGAGGCCACAAGGATCACATGTAGACACTCCAGGTGGTCATTCCATGGTGGGGATAGTGGGTATTCCTGCCCCCAGGTGTCAGGAGGACAGGTCCTCATCCCTGGCCCTTCTGTGTCCTGGGTCAGCTCCATATATCACCTGCAGCCAGGATTCCTGCGCTGGCTGTCAGGGCTCCCTGGCCTCTGGCTGTCATAGACTCCCACTCCCCCAACGCTGAGGATAGATGTGGGGAGGACAGTACAGCTGTCTGCCTCTGTCAGTGGCTTCAAGGGCTACCCAAGGGCCTGAGAGTCACTGCCATGGGCATGGGGAACGCGACGTGGGTGCTGGTGGGTTGCATGGGCCGTGGGGAGCATGTGCCTCCCTCCCACAAGAGCACCCTGTTCCTTCTGCAGGTATAGTCATCTCCTCCTCCTCGGCGAGTCCTTCAGAAGGCACCAGCTCGGACAGCTGTCTGACCTTCTCGGCGGGGGATAGCCCAGCGGGGCTTAGTGGATGCCTGGCTGCTCAGGGGCTGGTGGGCACCTGTTCTCCACTCAAACTGGCCTCACCACTACTGGGGGCCCAGTCAGCCACCCCGGTGCTGCAGGCGCAGGGGGCCCTGGGAGGAGCTGCCCTGCTCCCCATCAGCTTCCAGGAAGGCCGGAGGGCTTCGGACACCTCACTCACTCAAGGTGACTTCCCCTTCACTCTCATTCCCACCTTCCCTCCAGATGCCGTGTGCCCTGGCAGGTTTCCCTTTGTCCTGGATGGCAGAGGTTACCCCATCCCCTAGCCGGGCCTAGGTCCAGCAGCAATGCTCCCTGGACAGATCGAAGGGGTCACCGGGTTCTGGACAGCCTGGTGTCCTGGGACAAAGTCACCTGGCCTCTAGTGGCTGGTCTTAGAAGCTCAAGAGACACTTGGGTGCCAACAGCAGCTCCTGCCCTAGAGAGGGGTGGGGTCAGGGAGGGACCCTCCACACCTGGCTGTCTGGGCTCCCACCATGCCACCCAGGGCTTGGGGGCCCTGAGCTCCCTCCCTAGTTCTGTGGCACTGTTCTGCCCTTCACAGAGGATCTCAGTCTGCCCAGATGCATGCCTATTCGGTACTGGAACTGCTGCCCCAAATCCAACCTTAAAGATGACTTCCTAACCTTGCATGGGGGGTGGAGGGGTCATGGAAAGTATTTAGATGACCAGAGAGCACCCTCAGCCCTGTAGGAAAGCATACCAGTTCTTGTATCCATCATTTTCATGTTGCCCGTTCCTCCTCCTCCCTCCCCTCCATCTGGAACTCCAGCCAGCCTTGGGCTGCTGATCCTGGGCTGGGGATGGAGGTCCATAGACCATCTCCATCTGCCTCTCCCCAGGCCTGAAAGCCTTTCGACAGCAGCTGAGGAAGAACGCGAGGACCAAAGGGTTTCTGGGCCTGAACAAGATCAAGGGGCTGGCTCGCCAGGTGTGCCAGCCCTCTTCCAGCCGGGCCACTCGGGGAGGCCTGAGCGCTTTCCAGCTGCCCGCTCAGAGCCCAGGCCTGCATGGCAGCGGGGCCAGTAGCCGGGAGGGCAGGAGCCTGCTGGAGGAGGTGCTGCACCAGCAAAGGTATGCCTGCGCTGCACTAGTCGCCCTTGACCTTGGTAGCACTCGGGTCCACTGGGATTTTTTGAGCAACCTTGTTTCCTAAGCTCCCCCTTCTCCATGTGATCAGATGAGTGTGCCTCCCTACCCCAAGTGTGGGGAGATCTGTGGGCCTTGTTCCTGCAGATGGTGGCAGAGGTGGGGAGCAGTCAGGTTTTGTCACTTTGAAGCCTGTAAGTGGGGGCTGAAGGGGGGCATGAATAAGAATGTCACCTCTGGCTGGCATCTCTGAGCTGCTGTAAAAGCACGACAGAGAATGGAAATGTCAGGAATTGCTCAGGGCATTAGTCACGCACAGCATTTCGTGTTCTGGGCAGCTCCAGCCAGCACTTCCACGGGGCGTGGAAACCCGATGGTGTCTGAGCCTGGCCGGGTGGAACTTGTCAGGAGAAGCAGCGCTCAGAGCTGGCAGTGACCTGTTGCCCTCCCTGTTCCTCGTGTCCCTCCAGGTTGCTGCAGTTACAGCACCACCCAGCAGCTCCGCCCAGCTGCCAGCAGGCTCCCCAGCTGCCCCCAGTCCCGCTGGTCCTGGCCCCCTGTGACAGTGCCCTCCTTATGTCGGGACTCCAGAAGGAGCTGGGGCTGGGGCCTGGCCCGCTGCTGCCACCCCACCTCCTCCAGCCCGGGGTCTCCCCGGTGGCCTCAGCGGCCCACCTCTTGGACACCCACCTGCACATCAGCACTGCCACGGCACCCCTCCCTGCCGCCACACCCCTGCAGCCACACTTCGCCATGCTGCCCTCGGGTTTCGACCCCATGGGGCTGCCGCAGGGGGACTGTGAGATGGAGGACCTGACCTCAGGCCAGCTGGGGACGTTTGTCCTGGTGCAGTGAGGGCTACCACGCCACCCTCCTCCTGCATGGGCTGCTGACTCCTCGAAGCAATAATCTCAAGAGTATGTGAAGGCGATTCCGGACTCAAAGCCAATAACTTCTGAGAAGCAAAACAAGCAATACGTTTGGTGTTTTGGCTTTTTGGTTTATTTTTGTTTTATTTTCTCCTTGCACTGAACAGCTGCTGCTGTGAGTAGGGACTGGAAAGTTTCTGAAGAAAAATAATAATTGAGGGTGTGTTGTGGGGGTGGGTAGACAGGAGGGAGAAGGAGGGAAGCAACAAGACAGAGGACAGTGCTGGCCCCGCTCACAGGCCAGCGCCACTGTGCGTCAGGTGGCGGCAGGAGGGGACCATTAGCTCCCTCGTCCATGGGCGCGTCGGGTCACAGAGGGCACTGCCTTGGACAAAGCCACAGTGTGAGCCACGCGCCGTGGGAACAAGTGTGTGCACCTCCGCCACGTGTGTGCACATGCGGGGTTGAGTAGCATCCTTTTTTAATGAACAGTTCCACTTCCTGAAACATTTATGCTTCGAATGAAAGCTGTGAACTTTGTGCTTTATGCATAAGTTTTTAAAAAGCTCTAATGGCCAGCCCAGGAGAAGATAATCTGCAAATTCTTGGAATTCTCTCCCTTGAAGTCAGAACACAGAGGCTCACTTTTTCTTGTTTTCGATGGGAGTGTTATGAACTGCTTGGGGGTCGATTCCAGGAGTCTTCGGAGGAGCCACGAGAAAGAACCTCAAAGGGGCGGGTAGGCTCTGTCCTGGCACTTGGCACAGGGCCTGGGTGCCTGTGAGGGAAGTTACCTCCTGCCGCACATCTTATTTCCGCTGCTAATTATGTTTTTACGCATTTCATTATCAGGGTCCAAAAAGAACAGCTGACTGGGGGATGTGCAATATAGTGAGGCTGGGACTGGGACAGTGGGCGGCGACCGCCTGTACTCACGGGTCACTGTCGGACAGCCCCACCTTCCCCAGGCCCATATCTGTTAGGCTTTTGTTCAAGAAAATGGAATGAAAGGTCAGGTCATTATTGTTCAAGCTTTGTTCCTTTTTAAGCAAATACTGTATATGTGTATAAATAGACAGACAGACACTACTTATTTTTTATATTTTTTACTACACCTTTGTGTTCCTGGTTTAAATTACCCTCTGGCAATGTTACAAAGTGCTGCACCAGGTCTGTGTGGAGGAAGGAGGCAAGTTGCCCTTACCTGGCAGGTAGACCCAGGTGGTGGCTCAGGTGGCCATGGGCCTCTGAGTAAAGGGAGGTCGCTACTGCGTGCTCCCTCTGCCTGGTCAGCACTGGTCCTTTACCCCCAGGTGCCTTCAGCTCTCTTGGCTCTTACACCCTCAGTATTAACAGGTAATGGCAGGGGAAGGTCGGCATTTATAAAAGCCAAAGATCACCGGAGTTTCTGGAGGGCGGGGAGGTGGTGGCCCAGAGAGGACACGGCCCCTGCTGGCCCTGCGTCTGCGTCTACCCAGCTTGCTGCTACTGTCCTTCCTGCCACCACTGCTGCTGCTCTGTGGCTGCTTCAATGATGGGGGCAAAGGACTGTCCTTACGCCTGGCCGCTGAGAACTCTCCAAGGCCTCTGCTGACTTGTAAGGAAGGTTGGGGACTGAGAGAGAACCTGGGGTCATGGGCCTTTGCCTCCTCACAGACAGCAGCACGTGGAGTCCAACACAGAACCAGTTTCCCTTTTGAAAATCAGTTCTGTTCTAACCCAGAGATCAAAGGCCTCAGAACAATGACAAGCACTTTACGTTCACCGTGGTTTTCTTTCTCGTTGCTGTTAAGTCAAGGTGTGTGTCTTGTTTAAGTGTGTGTGACGTGTGTTTTATAGGTTTCTCCACAGTGCTGTTCCCGAATGAATGCAGTAGCCGTTCAAAGGCACTCTGTGATCTGATTAAGATGTATATGGTTTGGTTTGTTGTTTTTTTTTACTATAACTGAATTATTTTGTTTCTTATGTTAACATGACAAATGTATGCCAAATGATTAGTGGATGTATGTTTTTTAATTTAATATTTAAATAAAATATTGGAGGGGAAAACCTTGACTTTTTCCCATGGTTCTCTGGGGCGTACCTTCCGGCCGCTTCACTAAGAGGCCAAGTCCTCCAGGCTCATTGACGGCTCAGATCGAAAGAAGAGGGCCTGGTGCCAACTCCTGCATTCAGCCTGGCCACAGAGAACTGGCAGCACCTAGCTGCAGATGCCACTCCCCTTGCCTGGCAGTGGTGTGGGCACAGGGTGGTCAGGGTACAGAGAGGAGTGGCCTGAGGTTGGCATTGAGGGTGTGTGCCAGGCCTCGCAGGCTCTCAGGCCCCATTTTGGGGGGCAGGCTCTGCTAATCCGCTGAACCTCCAAACACCCACGTCTGTTCGCAGCTGGTTCTTCCCAGGCACCATTCACTCTACTTCCTCGTAATGGTCTGAACCCTCTTACAAGTCAGGGATTTGGAAGACTGACAGCCAGACTTCCTGGTCTGTTCAAGTTGGCTTCGCCACCTTCCAGCAGGAGGGCAGACGTGGCCACCTAAACAACAAAGGATCCTCTTCATCCTGCACCTGGAAAATATTTTTTGGTTAAAGTTTTTAATTTTTCTCACCCATTCAGATGGTCATTATAAAAAACAAGAAAAACCCCACACGTAAAATAAGCGTTGGCAAGGGAAAAATTGGAACTGCCGTGTGCTGCTGGTTGGAGACAGTCTGGCTGTTCCGTAGCAAGTTAACAGAATCACCATATGGTCCAGCAATCCCACTTCTGGGCACAGACACACAAGCTGAAAGCAGGGGTGGGAACAGATCCTGCACACCTTTGTTCTTGGCAGCATTAGTCACAACAGCCAAGGGGTGGAATCGCCCCACGTGTCCCTCCAAGGACGACTAGATCAGCAAATGTGGTCCCTGCACACAATGGGATGGGATTCAGCCTGAAGAAGGAAATTCTGACGTATGACATGGAGAAGCCCGGAGGGCATCACGCTCAGGACACACGTCAGGCACAAGCGGACAAAGGCTGCGTGACTTCGCTCCCCTGAGGCCCTAGAGGAGTCACTCCCAGTGACAGAAAGGAGAGTGGGCAGAGCGTCTTTTGGGAGGATGGAAAGTTCTGGAGATGGATGGTGGTGATGGTTGCACAACAGTGTGTATGTACCTAATGCCACCGACCTGTGCACTTCAAAATAGTCGAGATGGTAAACTTTGTATTGTGTGTATTTTACTACAATGAGAAGAAGGTCCTTTTGGGGGAGATGCCTAGGGATGCACAGCAGCTTCCTCCTGAGAGCCGGGCTCCGGGGTGAGGGCTGAGTGAGCGAAAGAAAGCATGGAGGAGAGGCACCTGTAGGAGGCAGATGCGCAGGGAAGTTGTGAAAACTCAGAATCTGTTTCCAAGCCTGTATGTGTGGGATGACAAGCCTGAGTTGCTTCAATGCAGCCAGTGGGTCTGAGAGGCCAGTGGGATCCCATAGTTTTGGGGAGGAGGCCCAGCCAATGAGGAGGGTTGCTGTCAGGGCTGCTTGATTGACAACAGTTACAACATCATATACTGAGCTGTGGCTCGCAGTGCCTTGAGGGACTGGGGGGTGGGCTTCTGACAGGAAGGCCAAGCAGGCCACGCACACCCAGGAAAGCTCACCGAGCCCCCGCGGACGCCAGTGCTGGGCCTCGCTCCTGTGTGGCCCACACAACACTCGGCCTCTTGGTGACCACGGCCTGGAGAGCAGGACCCAGGCTCTGCCTGCTGCGAAGAATAAAGGGAAATCTATTTACTGTTTGGGACGTAGAGTCTTGTAAACTAGGAAGAACTTGATGCGTCTCTCGGCTCCTGAAGTAGGTGGTCCGCTCCTGTGGGGCCCATCGGATCACACCCCCCACCCAGCACCGAGCTCCGTTGGGCACCTGTGGCTCCTGGCAAATAGCTGGGAGCTAAGGGACTCCGTGCTCACCTGCTCGGTTCTTCTGGGGCTTACGGTGTGTCACGATTGGTGTTATTATCATCATTACTAATCAATAACGCTTCTTAGAATCCTCAGTTGGAAATGTATGCCCGGCTCAGGGAGCCTCGCAGGGACCTTGCGGGATGCGGGCCCGCCGTCCCAGGCTTATTGGTCTGCTCTCGAGCCACGTTCCCTCCCGCAGATGAAGAGGGGCCAAAGTGACTGTGGGGTTCAGTGTGGCGGTGGGACTCGGCGGGCCAGCCGTGTGTTAAGCGACCCCCTCTCTGGGCCCCACCACCTGCGTCTCGTGCTGCCAACGTCTCTGCCGTGGGTGACTGCACCTGCCCGGCATTTCACAAGATGTTGACGCTGTGGATGTGTCCGTTCCTGTCGGGGTGTGGCAAGGCTGAGCAGGCGATGGCACCTCCCTCTGCACATGACCGCACATGGCGGGCACTTGGGGCTTCTGAGGTTTTCTTCCTCCCGATGACGCTGTTGAGGGCCTGGGGATAGCCTGGCGTAGTGACCGCTGCAGACCACGCGGCTGCCTGAGTCCTTGCTAGTGCGGGGGGAGCCGAGCCCAGTGGGCCTGACACCCAGGGCAGCGCGTGTGGCACTTTTGCTGCGGGGCCATGGGCCATGTGTGCTGGTGTGCACCCTGCTTTCAGGAGGAAGTCCTTCTGGACGTCCAGAGATGTGGTAGCTCGACACTGAGACCCGCTTGCGGAGGGGGGGGTGCGGGGGGGGTGCGGGGGGCGGGCGGGAGGGAGGGGAGGTTGGTTGGGTGGAGAGGCCCTGGGACAGCCAGGATGGAGCGTGAGGGGAGTTCCAGGCGGAGATGAGGCTCACCTCACTCAGAGGCAGGAACCGAATCTGAGTTAAGAGGAACTGACCCGTTTGGGGTGGAAGCAAAAGTGTTGGCCTGCTGGGTCTCCTTCCAGAATAATGCCGGGTGTTTCCGTGGTCAGGGCAGGGTGCACACGGCTGCCCCGTGGCCTGGCCTTCGATCTTGGGGGAGGGTCTCAAAGAGTGAACCCAGGGTGGAGAGTTCTTTAAGGGCCCCTAAGGTTTCCGAGGTCTGGCTCTGGGGGCCACTGTCCAGGCTGAGAAAAGAGAACAGGAAGCCGAGGGGCCTGGAATCGGGGCTCAGGGTTGTGTAGCTGGGAGGGCAGTGGAGGGGGAGGGAGGGAGGGAAAGAAGGGGCGGAGGGGGGAGCGAGCCTGTGCAACTCCTCTCCTGGGGGAACTCCTGGGGTCTCTGTGACTCACTCCTCTCCAATGACCACTGTTTCGCTCGCTCACAGGGGATCTCTGTAAGAAATAGAAAGGACTTAAGCGTGCAGGAAGCCCAGCTGGCCAGAGTGCTCTGTTCCCCTTCGCGTTGAGAGCTGTGTGGTGGGCGGAAGCCACGAACCCCAGGCCAGCGGCTGCCCGGTGGGCAGGCTTTGGGGTTTTGTTGTGGTTGTTAAATCCGAGTTGAAGTATGTTTCTTCTTCACGGAGTACGTCTGTTTCCAGCAAGTAAGGGGCTAAGTGAAGGGCCCGGGTCCCCAGGGCCCACTGGACTGAGGACAGAAGGCTGTGAGGGACAGGGCATGTGAGCCCCCCAGAAACCGCAGACCCCAGAACGAACCAGCCTGCGGAGGAGTCGTTGGCATACAGTAAAGCGCACCTGTCCTGAGGGAATAGTTCAATGAGGTTTGACAACCTACAGGCCCCCACAGCCAGCACTCAGGACGTGTCTGTCACCCCGAAAGCCTGGCCTCTGCGCTCTCCTGGCACCAGGCATCTGCCGGCCCGCTCTCTGTCACCGTGGATTAGTTTGCATTTTCTAGAATTCTCTACGAATGGTCACGCAGTGTGTCTGGCATCTTTCATCGGCATACTAGGCGGAGACTCGCCAGGTGCTGCGTGTATAACCAGCTGAGTCGTTCTGACTGCTGAGTAGTGTTCCACGGTGTGGACGGGCCAGGCTTTGCTTAGCCATCCACCTGCCGATGGATGTTGTGGTTGTTTCCACTTTGGGGCTTTTGCAAATGGAGCTGCTGTGAACCTTTGTGAGTGAGTCTGCGTGGCCCTGTTTCATTTCTCGTGGGTAACAGAGGTGGAACAACGGCTGCATCGTGAGGAATCACAGCCACTAACTTCATACGGAGCTGCCACGCTGTCACCAGTGTGGCTGCAGCAGGTCATAGGCCTCCCACAGCGTCTGAGTCCAGGGGCCCCACACCCTCACAACACTGGGCAGTGCCGGTTTCTGGCCATCCTAGCAGCTCTGTAGTGCTGTCTTCCCAGGAGCTTGCATTTTCTTGGTGACCAGTGATGCTGAATATCTTTTTATGTGTGTATTGGCCATTCTATTTTCCAAGTTTTTTTAAGTCTTTGGCAATTTTTATTGGGTTTTTAAAATTCTTATTAGTGAGTTGTAGGAGTTCTTTATATATTCTGCATCATATATGTGTGTATACTTACATAATATACGTATACACACATGTTTGTATACATATATACACATGCCTTCCTATATAATAAAAGGCTAATATGCAAATTGTCCCCTCGACTGGGAGTTCGACTGGAGTTTGACCAGTGGGCAGGGCCAGCCAGCCAACCGCCCTCGGCCCCTCCTCCTGGCCAGCTGCGCCCCCAAGAGTCCCCCCCAATTGGGGGCGGGGCCGGCCAGACCCCAACCATGCATGAATTCGTGCTCTGGGCCTCTAGAACCTATACAAATAGATATATACATGTACACCTATGTGTATATGTACACACACACACACACACACACACACACACACACACACACACAGAGTATTTCTCCCATTGGTGGTTTGCCTTTCTTTTTTTAAAATATATTTTTATTGATTTCAGATAGAAAGGGAGAGAGAGATAGAAACATCAATGATGAGAGGGAATCATTGATTGGCTGCCTCCAGCACACCCCCTACTGGGGATCAAGCCCGCAACCCAAGCATGTGCCCTTGACCAGAATCGAACCTGGGACCCTTCAGTTCCCAGCCTGATGCTCTATCCACTGAGCCAAACCAGCTAAGCTGCTAGGGCATTGCCTTTCATTTGAAGAGTGGAGTTGAAGGTTTTTATTTTTATAAAGTCCACCTTACTA